TGGAATACAACCTTGGTCCACAACATCAAGGTATGAATGGTATGAATTCTTCTGGGTTTAATCCTGAGTCCAAACCTCAGTGCACACGTTCTGTAAAGCCCAGTTCAGGGCCACAGCTGCAAAGCATTAAGTCCCTTGACTTGACCCCTGGCTTAGAGTCTCAAAGTATAAAATCTGTTCTGTTAAACTCTGGATCACCTTCTCAAGGTGTGAATTCATCTAACTTAATGCAAGCATCACTCCAACAGAACCACTGGATCAAATGATAAACATTTTAGGTGTTAGTCCAAAGCCACAAGTTCACATGACAGAATCTGCAAAGACACAGCTTCCAGTTCCTCAATCAGTTGTCATCCAAAAAGTTTCTGAAACTGTAGAAGTGATCCCCGGACCACCACTTCAAGTTATAAAGTCTGTGATGATTCCAGAGAGTATCCCTCAAGAGTCAAAAATACAATGATCTGACTCCCAAAACACGTGATGGGATAAGGTCAGAATTTGCTCCAAGCCTTTGGCTACAAAATGTGCAATCCAAGAAATTAATCATAGATCCAACACAGCAGGTTTTAGAAATAAAACGATGCCCAGGCTTTCGGATTATAAAGACTGTATTAACTCACAAACCACTGCTTCCGACGGTAAAATCTGAAAAAGTGGCACGAGCACCATGTCCTCAGACTGTAGAACTAATAGGACTCACCACGAGACCTAGCATTAAAGTAAGAGAGGGTTTGAATTTACACCCAAGACCACACCGTCAAGACCTGGTAAAACCTGTGGAGTTAACTCCAAGGGCAGATATTCAAGTGACTTCTGCAGAATTAGTATTTCAGCAGACAAATCTCCCCTTAAGGAACCTACAGTGTTAACTTGTGAGCAAAGGCCTCAGGGTGGAAAATCTCTAAGCGTCAAAACCAAATCTCCCAAAGTAATGAAAATTGAGGATTCCAATCAAGGATGTATGTTAGGTCTCTGGGTTCTGGGGGTGTGGTCACACACACAGGATTCTACAGCCCCACAGATCTCCATCACCATCTCCATGGAAAGTGAGATTCTCTAAGCTGGCTTCCAGGAGTCCTAATCCTAGAAGAGATTTCCAGTCCAGATCTTCCCTGTCTCCTGCTTCTCTCTGTAAAAGTTCACACTCAACAAAAGAATTGGCATAGCCACTGTGGTGTGGCAGGAAAGACAACAGCCAAAGACTATGAATTCCTCAGGTTCACTCTATGAAAGCAGTCAGGATGAAAAATCAGTAAAATCAAGCCTCAGAAAGACTTCTGTCTTTACATATCCTGTGAAGACAATCACCAAGGGACCTGAAACACAAAACCCAAGGCTCTATAAAATCAGTACAAGCACAAAAGGCAGTCGTCCTAGAACACTGAGGGGTCTGCCAAGAAGCAGAATTCAAGCCACCCAAACAAGCACTGTTCCTTCCAAGAGACAACCTAAGAAATCCTCCCTGCCCAAATTCATCCAGCTGCTTTTTCACAGCATGAGGAAGGCATTCCAAGCAGCACATAGAATTGTCACTGTTACCAGACAGAAACTTGAGTACAAGATGAGGCCAGACAATTTGTGGTCAGTCAAAAACTTGCACCCCAAACAAAGAGCCAAGGATTATTGCTTAGTGGGAGATAGCAAAGGAGCCAGGACACCAGTTGTCGGGCACAGGTCAACATTCTCAACCCCTAAGCAAAAGGACAAGTTTTTTCTACAGTTTTGGAAAGAAAAGGCTGTAGTGGTGAAATATTCAGTCTAGAGTCTAAGAACTGTTCTAAAGTAGGAGCCAAATTTCAGGCCCAAGAGACGATTGTATCTAACCCCCTCTTGAAAGGAATCCTGCAGTGTCACATTGGAAAGAAACCTATACACAAGGAAGAACAAGGCCTCTTCAGGGATAGAACCCTATGTAATAAGCCGTTTGAAAAGACCCATCGCAGGCTTCCTCAGAGAACTCATTGGCGAAGTCTCTCTGAGAGGAGACATCATAGTCCTTCTTGGAAAAGGCACAGCAGTCCCTCTGACAGAACCCTTAGTTATTGCAGTCCCTCCCAGAGAAGCAGTCTTAGCTCCTCTGTAAGAACCTAGTCTCTCTGACAGAAGCCATAACAGCCAGTTTAAGGGGAGAGGCCACAGTTCCTTAAGGAGGAACCCTCGAAATTCCTCAAGGAGGAGCCCTCGCAGTCCCTCCAGGAGCAGTGCTCAAAGTCCATTGAGGAGAAATGTTCCCAGTCCCTCCAGGATAAGTGCTCCCAGTCCCTCCAGGGGTAGTGCTCCCAGTCCCTCCAGGAGAAGTGCTCGCAGTCCCTCCAGGAGAAGTGCTCCCAGTCTCTCCAGGAGAACCGCTCCCAGTCCCTCCAGGAGAAGCGCTCGCAGTCCCTCTAGTAGAAATGCTCCCAGTCCCTCCAGGAGAAGTCCTCCCAGTCCCTCCAGGAGAAGTCCTCCCAGTCCCTCCAGGAGAAGTGCTCGCAGTCCCTCCAGGAGAAGTCCTCACAATCCTTCCAGGAGAAGTCCTCACAGTCCTTCCAGGAGAAGTCCTCGCAGTCCCTCCAGGAGAAATGCTTGTAGTTCCTCGAGGAGAAGTGCTCACAGTCCCTTGAGAAGTGCTCACAGTCCCTCAGGAAGGAACCTTCACAGTCCCTCAGGAGGAGCCCTCACAGGCGCTCAGGGAGGAGCCCTCATAGAGCTCTAGAAAGAAGAGGACACAGTCCCTCAGTGAAGAAGAGTCTACACAGTCTTTCTGGGCGGAGCCAACAAAGTCCTTCTCTGAGATGCCTCAGTCTCTCAAAAAGGAGCCATCTCAGTCTCACGCAGAGGTCACTGGGCAGTCACTCAGAATGGAGCCATGGCAGTTCATTTGAAAGACCCTTTTCCATTCCCTCTGGCTGGAAAAGACATGGTTCTGGAATAAGCCAAAACTCCACCTCCACAGTTACCTGGCAACACCCAGGTATGCTCCCCCCCACAGTAACCTGGCAATAGCCAGGTAAATCTGCCCACTCTAAAAGGGGCTGCTTGTCCCCTCCTCTCTCTCTTACTCTCTTGCTCTTTTGCCCTCTTGCCTCTAGCTTCTCTGTGTCCCCTCTCCCCTCTCCCTTCCCTTCCCCCTCTCTCCACGTGGTCTACTCTTCCACTGTTCACACTCTCTCTCCTCTCGCTCTCTCTTCCTCTGCCATCATCTTCTGTTTCTTTCCCCCTCCCTTTGCCCTATCCCCCCCCACCTTGGAACCATTTGGTTTGGTGTTGTCTAAGCTGCACACCAAAGTCTAACAAATACACTTTCCCTAATCCCAGGCTACACAGTCACTCTGCCAGACTCATCCACAGTCATTCTGAGAGAGCTCACTCTAGTCCCTCTGAAGGCAGACACAGTCATTCTGAGAAGATGCACCCCAAAGTCACTCTGAGAGGAACCAGCACTGTCACTATGACAGACCCTACCACAGTCCCAAGGAGACGCTCAAGCATCGTTCTCCTAAGGAGAGATCCAGATGTAGCTTGGCTAAAGAGTTCATGTCTTTCAGGGACCACACCAACAAATCGCAAAGCTGGACAAATTTGGAGGCATGAAGTTAGTGGATAAGGAGAGATCTGCCCCTATTAAGTGTATTCCTGCTCAGCCACTGCCTGCACCCTCAGCAATGAAAGAGCTATCTGGGAGGGAAGAGGAAGAGAATGGGTCTGTAATTTAAGATCAATAAAGGGGCAATTTGAACTCCATTTGCATCTGTAAGACCACTTGTGGGATGGGTGGGACACGGGTTCACAGGGAGCCCTTAAATCTTCAGACTCCACCCATTTGCATGCAGCTTCTCCCCTCCCCCACCCAGGGCTCCTGGAATGTCCACCCTGATGCTTTAAGCATACCTGGGACTCTCCAGAGCCTTCATCATCTAAGAAATATCTGACGATGGTGCCATCTGCGTGACCCACGAGTACCCCTTTCCCAGAGCAGCTGAAGAGCAAAGGCGGAAAGGCAGACACAGAGGGAGAGACCATCACCTCGCTGACAAAGCTGCTTTCTGTCAAATGCACTTGTGCCTGATAGTTCCAAGTGTTACTTTTGGAACTCACTTGGTTGTCAGTGCTACCACATAAGAATCTGTCCCATAGATAGAAGATGACTTGTTAGTTTTAATGTTTGCTAAGCTACCTAAAAAAAAAATCAAAGAATACACACAAGTCTGGCTAGACTACTTTTAATCTCTCCCAGGCCATGAGAAACAAAGCCAAAACCCCAAAATGAACAAAACTGGTCCTCCTGCATTCTTTTGCAGTGCCCTGGGCTCCAGGGAAAGGATGAGCCCCGCAGCCCCCACTCCTACCCAGGACAATTATCCCCACCTAACGCCTACCCCAGTGTTCCTCCCCTCCTTTACCTTGCCTTCAGCCAGTCCAAAGACAATGAAGTAGTACTCAGGCCACTGCAGACAAGTGACAGCACTCTGTATGCACAAGGGTAAAGGAACAACCCGCCTGTGTGGATTAGCAGCTCTATGACAGCCGACACCCACCACAGACAGCACCCTAGTCTTCTACAGGGGAAGTCTTCTATGGAGGAGGGAATACAACTAGGCTCTCTTTAGTAGATGTCAATGAGCAGCCAGGCAGTGCCATCCTTTAGCAGGTCAGACCAGCTTTAGCAAAGGCAGTGCCTGGTCACACTCACAAGCAGACAGACTCTGGGCTTTACCATCTGGATGAACTTGTTGCAGATGACCTTCTTGTCACCCCTGCCAAGCAAAAGGAATGGAAGCATGCTTAAAATCACTGCCCCACATTGATGGTGATAGAGGAGGGCAAGACAGGAACTCTTTCCTGGCCCTCTGGTGTTTCCTATCCTTCAGTGGAAGGTCTGACGGAGATGTGAGTGGGTGCCCAAGAAGCCCTGGAGCTACATCAAAGAGAGCAACATGCTGGCTTTTAGGACTTGTCACCGGCCTTACACTCATTCTGCCAGGGATGGGACTGGCAGACTTGTGGGGTAGGCAAAGGCATGGACACAGCAGACTCTAGAAAGTCCCTGCCTCCCACACCTGATCCTGGCACTAACCGCCACTTCCCCACCTATCCCTACCCCAGTGAGGCATTTCTCACGCCCAACTCTTCTTTTGCAGGCCACCCACTGCCCACATCTGTCCTCACCAATCTTCTCCAATCTTGTAGACGTAGATGATGTTGTCAGTCTGTCCTTATGGCAATTTTTGTGGAATCAGGAGAGAACGCCATGCCCTTCGCCATGTAGCTCATCCTGCTGTACTAGAAATCAAAACAAACTGAATGAGTATGAATGAAAGAGAAAGGAAGACACATACTGAGAAAAGGGGTGCTCCACTTCCCACAGGTAATAGGTTGGGGCACAGGCAGGGCACAGGGCACACGGGGGTCCTCCCCACCTTCATGTCGGCTGGCTTGGTGGAGAACTTGTCTCTCCGCTCCCCATGCTCATCATACGGCAGCACCACTCGGTCCACTGTGCAGACAGCAAATTTAGCATTGTTCTGGGACCAGGCCATGCAGGTCACCTTCGCAGCGCCATCCTGTGGAGGTGAAGAGTTAATGTAACCACAGAGCTGGTCTACAATGTACAAAGCATTTCCAGTCTCATCAGCCACTACTGTGGCTTTGCTTTACATCCTTGTCACAGTGTTTCCCTCAAAATGAAACAAAATAAAAGAAACGGTTTGTATACCTAGAATGTACAGCAATGTTATCTAGGGCTTTGTATAACCCAGACTGGCCTCGGGCTCACTCTATAGCCAACAGTGACATGAACTTCTGACCCCCTAGCAGACTTCCTCTCCTGAGTGCTAGGATTCAAGGCATGCACCATCACGTCTAGTTTATGCCATGCTGGGGAAGGAACCCAGGGCTTCACTCAAGCTCACCAAACACTGAACCTACTAACCCATCTCCTGAGTCCCTAATGCACTTTCTGAGACTCATGACACAAATGTAAGGCTCTCACTGTGGCTTTTCTTTACCAGATGAAGAAGCTAGTGTTGGAAAGACTGCGTATGGTGAGGGTTAAAGCCAGAGATACCATTTGGTCAATTCAGTGTTGGAGCTAAGCCAAGACAAGAATTCTGTCCTCTTAACTCCCAAACCCAGTCGGTTATATTTCTGGGCTCCTCCCCCAGTGCCCAGCCTCTTCTGCATCCGAGACACACTTTCACAATCCAAAAGAGAGTTCAGCTTCCGCTCTACCTTTTTAAGGGCTTATATCTAAAGCGTTTATTTCATCCAGTGTAGAGTTGTGATCGTGGGATTAAGGGATTCCTCACCTGAGGGCTCAGCAGGGTCCTCAGGTGCTTCAACTGCATGATGCACACGGGTCTCGGATGCCTGCAGACCGAGACAACTCCCGCGGTTACCTGGACAACCCGCCAAGCATCGGTAGCGTTAGCGGTTGACGTACAGGCGACGTGAGTGTGACATACGTTATAAGGTCACGTAGTGGGTTCGCGACGGTGAAAACAGGACGTGCGCAAGCGCAGTGAGTCCTAGGGCGGGATCATAAGAGGGGGTTGTTGAATTCTCCTCCTGACCAATCTCGTAGCTGCATGCACACCTAATACAAAGCTCTGCCCACAAGCTTCCTCCCTCTCGGGATTCTACATCAACTAATCCTTACGTTTTCTTATTGTCCTACCCGGCCTGCTGCACTTTAGTTGCTTAAACTCTGGAGGGAAGCAAGGCAAGTGCTACGGGAGGCAAAAGACAATTCACAGAGCTGAAACCTTCACGTCCTCCCAAAACTTACGTGACTTGTGGGAGGCCACTCAATACTGATAGGTAGCAGTGAAAGCTCAAGGATATACCTGGTACTGTGTTTAGATTGAGTAGCGATAGAGACCCATTTTACACAACAGGAGGCAGATTAAAGGGGTTACTCGCTGAAGTTAAAACAGCTAGTAAAGGGTGGAACCGGAATTCAACCCTCAGCTTTGAATTCCTGTAAGAAGACTCAACCCTCAATTCACTGTCTCCATGCCCAACTAACTTGTCTACCCTGTTAACAAAGTCTCAGGAAATTATCCAGGATTTGGGGGATATATGGAAGCACTAGCCAGGAAAAGAGAAGGCGCTCTGTTTGGTCACTGGGTAAATGATGAGTTCAAACCTGATTGCTGAAATCCAGATGTCTCTATGAGTCAGTACAGGAGGCAGACCAGAGCTTGGTTCCCCTCCTAGCTTAGAGCTGCTTGACACCTGGGGTGAGGGATTGATTAAGCAGAAAAGATACCATCTTCTTTGTTTGAGATCCTTTCAACAATTTTTGGTCTCATTTCTTGCAACAGATCAGAGAGATCGAATGAAATGCAGAAACGTTATCCATAGGCCTTCTCTAAATGGTCCAAGGTTGGCAAGACCCATACCCCCCTAAAAGCATAGCATATGCTTTCCAGGCAAATGCTGAGTCCAAAGCCTTGAGCCCACAGCAGTTGCCAATGGCAACAAGTATTTCTCATCCTGCCACCACATCCCTCTTGAAAATTAAGAAACGGTAAAGGTCCCATTTTTTCACAGGTAACAAATAGGTCCCAGAACTCAAATTACAATTTTTTCGACAGGGGCATCCAAACCCCTCAGCTTTATTTCTAGAATCCTCTGGATATGTTAGAGTATAAATATAAACTCATTTATGGATTACAATTATTATTAACCTTGAATGAACAGAGACATAGATGGAAAAGAAAACAAAGAAGAAGCACTGGTGTGCCCGAGGTGAGGACACATGGCACCAAGGGCACATTATGGGTGGCTGCTCTCCCATCAACTCCCAAGACAGCTCAGCCCTTCTGAGCATTTCCCCAAAGTGAGTGGTGGAGTCAAAAGAGTAGGGAAGGGATTGGTTATATAGTTCAATGGTAGAACACTTGCTTCGTATGCACGAGGTCCTGAACAAAGGTTAAAAAAAATAATAATCTACTGGCCCTTTTATGTAACATGGCCTGGTTTCCGTTGGTATGAAAATGTCTGTGACTTCTCATTTTCTCTCTTCTCATTCAGCAAAGACAAAGAAGGGAGGCCTCTGGCTTTCCATCCCCCTTCCCTTTCGTCTTTCTCAGCCCATCTTAGATGAAAACATTGATTCATGGATGCAAACATCTTATAATGACTCTGTCCTTTCAGGTGGAGGCATGAGAACTGACAAAGTGTAGAGATGTCTTCAGTATACCATACAGTATACCAGTCAGTTGCAGTTTGTCCAAGAACCTTTATTGGAAAAATGTTCCAGGGGTGAGATCACCAGCAGCTGCAGAGGCTGCCAGGTGAGGGAGGGGAGCACCAGAGGCTCCATGGAAGACATTGGAATAGTGCAGTGTCTGCCTGTAGGCCCAGATGGGTCTTCTTATTCACTGGAGGTGGACAACACCAACAGAAACACCCCTCTCTGACACCCAGAGACAAGCTGTAAGGGCAGCTAGTTGATGCCAATAGTCCTGATGCAGGTGACGTGGGGTCCCTATCCAGGACCTAGTGGGATAGAGTTGAATAAGTGATTCTCCCGTGGATATGGGAGATGGGAGTAGATGTTCCATTAGATATCCACTCCCAGGTCCAGGGGTACAGAGTCTACCAGACCTACATTCTGGCCCTGCTCACAGTGGAAAGAGGATGGGTACCAGCCTGAGATTCTGGGAGCGTAATGCCTTGTGGGAGTCTCAAGCAGATTACCTTCTTAGGCAATCTGTATTATGTATTCATACAGTACATCCTATCTTCTGGTTCTGGTTCTTCATTCACTCAAACGTCAATGATGTTTATGGATGGAGACTTTTTCTGTAAGAGAATAATTACCCATCCTGAATTCCAGAAAGGTAAATGTGCCACCCTTGCCTTCTGGACTTCTTCATCCCAGACATTCCATGCACACACGTGTACAGACACAAACACACACACATATGTGTATACACACACACCTCCTGCCTTTCACTGATTACCCTTTTGCACCCAAATCCCCCTTCCCACACTCACTGGTCCCACATCACCTGTCGTGTCCCCACTGGCCTTCCCTGAGGACTCTGTTCAGGCCCCTTCCCCTTCTTCTTGGGGTTGTTGTTGGAGTTACTGTCCTTGATGATGTCATACTGACGGCAGAATAGCCCAATTACAGCTGAAAACACAACAATACCATCTGAGCCTTGATATTGACTCAAGGTTCTTGAAGCCTTGCAGATATCTACGCAACAAGAGAATCCTTGAATTCCTGGTGCCCATGCAACCCTCATCTCTGGGATTTCGGCAGGCTCTCCCCCTTAAACTTGTCCTGATTACCTCCCTTCACCCGCCTCCCCCACTGCTTTTTTTCTCTCCTTTCTCCAGACAGATGCCTTCACTACTTCCCACTATCTCAGACCCAAGTCCCTGCCTCCCCATGCAGTACTTACCAGCCCACATGAGCAATACCACCACAATGACGACGATTTCTCCTGTCTGCAATGCCCGCCCTCCTTCCAGACCCTCCACTGTAATATCACCTAAGAAGAGAGCCATTCTCTGGGTTACAAAGGACCCAGTGGAGAGCTCTGTCACATACAGAAGGGAGATGCTGGAGGTTAGAGTCAGCCTGGGTCCATCATTGCCCTGAGCCTGGAGTTACGGGGTGGCCCTGCTCAGGGAGAAGCCTTTGGTGGGTAGCATTTGGAGATCAAAGTATGATTATAGAACTTGCTCAGATCAGGCTGTGTCGGGTGTGATGTGATTTTGGGTAAAAGGATGCTTCAAAGCCCTTCCCTGAAAGGATTCATTAGCTCTGTCTCTATAGCTGCTCCCCTGCCCACCTGTTTTTCTTTCCTTCCCTGGCAGTAGAAGGAATTAAATCACCCTATTCGTCTCAGCTAGACAGTTGTTAGCCGTAAGCAAGAAAACGAGAGGTTAAACGCCAGGGAAAAAGCCACTAACACAGGCTCTTACCTGGGCTGGAGCTGTTGGAGGGCAGCCTGTCAGAACCCTTGAGAGTGCGGAAGTGCACACGGGGCCCTGGAGGGCTCTCTCCCCGGAGGCCGATGCTCCTGACCTGCACTGTGTAGTCACTGTCTTCACCCAGGCCCCAAAGAGCACAGGCCCTGGTTATGGTGTTCACCTCCCTGATTACACGCTGCCCGGGGCCATTCTGTCTCTGGGAGGAGATGTAGAGAAAGGAGGGCAGCCTAGCCCCAGTCCCTCTCCATCAGGCTTAACTCAGGACTCTGTAACATCCAAGCACTCAAAAGAAATAGTGTGGAGGAAACTGGAGGGATGTTCAGAGATCCAAGGGCACAGGTTGGGGAAACAAGGTGATTCATACTTGCTGGGAAATGGAGTAGCCAATGACGATGTTGCCTTCTGGGACGTCCCAGGACACAGTGGCCGAGTTGGCTCTGAGATGAGTGACCATCACATTCACAGGAGAGGGAGGTCGGTCTGGGGGTGCCCGAGTGTTAACAGATTAAGTGGTTTCACCTCCACACTAGGTCTGACGGACCCCCACTGCTGGTATCCTCTTCACTCACCTGTTCATACAAAACCCAGGTCACAGCTGACCAGCAGGAGGACCGTGGGACTCAGATATGGGGAAAGAGGCATCAAAGAAGCCATGATTTCCACCGAGTTGCTGGAGGGGCCAGAGGCATCCCCTTGACATCCAGGCGAAGATCCTGGAGGAAGCAGGAGTTGAGGGGTCAGGAGCTGCCCATAAGGCAAGTGGGATGCAGTAGCTCTCTCCCAGGCTTCTGAGGGGGCCCACAGCACATTTCCCCCGCACCTTTCCCACCTCCACATTACCCCAGTGCCCACCCCAGCCCCCATTCACTTCCCGGGTCCTCATGGTATGTCAGGCCTTGGGGGGCTGCTCGATGCCCAGAGGGCAGCCCATCCATCAACAGACAGGTGAGCACCTATCCCATCCTGCTGGTGCTACCCCTATCCCATTCTCTAGGTCCCCTTCACCTGTTTAACTACCCCATGAGTAATCACTTTGACAGCGTTAGAAGCCTACCCCACTTTCCTTTTTCTTTTTTCTGTCTTTCTGTCTGTCTATCATCTGTCTGTCTGTCTGTCTGTCTGTCTGTCTGTCTATCATCTATCATCTATCTATTTATAGATAGTGCCTCTCTCCATAGCTCTGACTATCCTGGAACTCACTCTGTAGAGCAGGCTGTCCTTGAACTCACAGACATCCGACTGCCTCTGCTTCTAGAGTGCTGGGATTAAAGGTGTGTACCACAACACCTGGCTCTTTCTTTTTCCTAACAACCACTCATATTATTTTAGCACTTTAAACTTTTCAAAGTATTTTTATACAAAGTTTAAATACATCGCTCATTTTGCCCCTGACACCAC